AAAAAAAAAAGAAAAAAAGTAGTTTTCAAATTTCTCTTAAAAGGCATGTATCACCTATTCCTTAATATATATTTTACATATATATTCATATATATATAATATATACATACACACACATACTACAGAGAAAGAAACAATATACAGGAATACGCAACTGGCCCAGAAACATTATATACATATAATTAGATTCAGTAAGTATCTTGCATTCATTTTAAATGATGTGGGTAGTCTATACAACTTAAAAAATAAGTTAAACACAAAAATTTTGACTTGCAAAATAAAATTTGAAAGGATAACTATTGATGCAAATAAATACAATAAACACAGCAAATGAACAATGAATCCTCAATTTTTACTTTATAAGCCCTGGGAATACATGAGGGGAATCTGCATACCACAAGCAAAGCTTCCTTCATGATGTCTGATCATTATAAACAAAAAAATTTTAGCAAAATCTTGATGGTAATTATGGGAAGAAGAAATTATGCCAGGCCCACTGAATAAACAGGATACAACTTAAATATTTTACTATAAATAATAATATAATGCTAGTCTATACATATATTTTTAAATAAAATTAATAATATTAATGATAACCATTAACGGCTTTTTATATTCATGGAACCATGCGAATAAATTATTTGTATGCATTATCTCATTTAATCTTCACAACATCATGAAACAGGGACTATCACTATACATCATTTTACAGAAGAGAAAACTGTGGTTCAGAGAAGCTAAATAATTTGCCCAAGGCCACTCTGATTATAAGTGAAAGAACCACAATTTAACTTCTGTCTGCCAGAATCCAGAGTCCATGCTCTTAATAAACTGTGGTTAAGTTCAAAACAACCCTGCAATTAAAAAGTATCCTCATTTTACAGTTTAAAAAAAGAGGTTCAGAGAAGTTAAATAACATGTCCAAGACCAATAAGCCAATATGTGCAAGAGAACTGAAAACTATCACCATGAATATATCATAAGAGCTTAGTTTTAAAAGTGAAAATGAAAAATCTTTAAAGTAGTAATAAGCTACTTATAAGAGAACATACATTCTGGACCGCCTGGGTGGCTCAGTTGGTGAAGCATCTGCCTGTGGCTCAGGTTATGATCCCAGGGTCCTGGGATGGAGCCCCGTATGGAGCCCAGCATTGAGCCCCCCTGATTCTCCCTCTCCCTCTACCCCTCCCCCTCCCGCTCATGCTCTCTCTTTCTCAAATAAAATCTTAAAAAAAAAAAAAAAAGAACAGACATTCTGACTCCACCTGGCATAACAATGTGTACTTAGACAATGATCACACAATTTTACACTGTGTAAAATCATGACAGCTCTCATGCACAGATTTATTAAACCCCAACAATGGCCTAGGCATTTTCAAATGTGAACCAAGGAGATGTGTGATGAAAATAACTAGAGGAAAACAAAGAAGACTTGTGTTTGAGCCAAAAAAAAAAAGAGTTAAAGACTTGGCTAGATCATAAACCTCATATTTTAACAGAAAAATAATTATAGAATATTAAGGGGAAAACATAAAACATTAATATAAGAATTTTCCATGCTGTTTTCTGGTTCTAACAAAATGAAATATGATCCTTAGGAAATATAATACCAAATTTTTATCCTAGATATATAAATATGACTCCAAAGGCCAGGTATGAACAACCACTCTGCCTTAGTTGCCTGGAATAGATGGTCACGCATCATGCACACATACTCATGGTAGCCACATCTTCATTCACTTGGAACGGATGGAAAAATTTTCTCAATTAACAGGATTTATTATAATGGAAACTTGCATGGTTATATATCTTGGCTGCTGTTGTTATAAAAGGCTATAAGAAGAGATTTATAGCAAAATTTGTATAGAAACCGTCCGACAGAATCAGGAAGTCATTGTGTCTGCTGTACAAGTCCAGCTGATTTTATGCAACCCTTGTGTGTTGCATTCTTTCTCATGCTCTTAATAATGGCAGTAAGGAAGAGGGCTGAGACTTAGTCATTCTCAAATATAAAAATTCCATTAATGAAGGAGAATTTTCCAGTAGTGTCATGCCATCATTTTAAGATGGCTATTATTACACATGAAAGCCTAAGAACTGCATAGGTGAGAAAGGTGTATTTACTTATAGCAATAACGAGCAGTTGGTGGGGGGTGGGAATTAGCATGAGCAATGTTATTTGGTTTAAGTACAGGATTTCTTTTTGCAATCTATAGTGTGCTCCTGAATTATTATGTGTGTGTGTCTGAACAGTATTGGTAGATAGATAAAAAAGAGGTTTCTCTATACAAAAGTCTATAGATCATTCCTGGAACTCTGCAGTGGTTTTTTGTTTTTTTGTTTTTTCTTAAGTGTTTGATTTCTTGCCACTACTGCTTTTCCAGACTCAGAGGTATTAATGAGATAGAGCCTTTGATTGGATGGGGGGAGGGAGAACTGGGAAAGACCACCCTTGTTTCCAGTGGCAAGAATCCAAAAAAATTAGCTTAGGAAACTGTTACAAGATTGGGCTCCCTTCAACTTCTACCAAAGATCCCCACACTTGGGCCACCCGCTGGGTCCAGTGTAAGCGAACACAATTGGTAAAGCCTGGTGCCCTGTCAAGCTCCTCCAAGGACAGCAACCCATAATCTAAGAAAATAAAAAGTCCTGTCCAAGTTTTAACTAAGCAAATCGCCAAGATCCACAACTTTTCCTGGCTCCAAGGTCTGGGCAGTGATAAATATTTTCAGCTTAATAACGTGCTGACTGCTTACCGCACTTTAAATGCCTTAAGAGGGTTCTACATTTGAGTTCTAGTTCTAAAATTCTAAATGACAGGACTAAAAATCTTAACCAAAACCACATCCTTCATATTCTATTTTTTTAGGACTATCAATTTGTCATTACTCTACTTTGTGGCTTCTTCATTTAATATTTTCTTGCTATAAATACATCCATTTAAAGTTAATGTTATGGCAGGTAGATGAGTGGAAATTCTTCTCAAATATACACATAATTATAGATAGAAGAAAGATATTAGCATTCATATAATTCCCCTATATATATGATGCTGCAATCAACTGGTTGGTCTATCATAAATGGTGATGACACAATTCCTCCAACATATTTAAAATGTTAATTTTGTTTCTAGAAAAAAGACCCTAGATCATTTAAACATAATGGTTAAGCATAACCCATAAAAATTATTTATATTACATAACATTGCTACAAATGCAATTATCAGTTTTATATTTGTAGGAAACAATAAAGGTTATCCTTGCTACCCAAGGCTGAGGGAAATGTATAAATTTCAAGTGCTTGTTTTACATTTCCATAAGCCAGTCGTAGGATGACAACAGTGGCAGATGTGATGAAATGTGTAATACTGTTTGCACAATACAGTCTAGAACCATGGTACAATACCTTAACTGTGACTGAAGGGACAAGGTCAGTTCCCACTTCAACATCAGTAGCTTGCTGTAAAAACAGAATTGAGAAGAGAAGGAAGGAAAGAATGGTTGCAAATTACATGTCTATCCATGAGTAAACACAATGGGTGCAATATATACTTCCCACCACCAAAATAGGGAACTAACCATAAAGGACTTATCAATCTAATGACAGACTAAAAGGGTCAATGTGGCTTTTTGAATACCTTCAACTGGAAAGTCATAAGCTAATAAAAACCTTTTCCAAAATGGAAAAAAAAAGGTCACATATTTTATTATTAAAATACTCTCTTGACAAATTTACTTAAATGTTGAAACTAATAGAATTTAAATAAAAAAATTTTGGGGCGCCTGCGTGGCTCAGATGGTTAAGCGTCTGCCTTCAGCTCAGGTCATGATCCCAGGGTCCTGGGATTGAGTCCCGCATCAGGCTCCCTGCTCCTTGGGAGCCTGCTTCTCCCTCTGCCTCTCTCTCTCTCTGTCTGTCTCTCATGAATAAATAAATAAAATCTTAAAAAATAAATAAATAAATAAATTTTTAAAAAATATTGAAACCAATTAATTCTATTAACTAGTTCTTTACATTATATTGAAGAAAGCCTCCTTGTACTTCTCAGATAAGCATTATGCTATCCTTTAAGGTCCTTATATTTTCAACTTGCCAAAGGTATTCTGATTAATAATATGTATCTAAGACATGTAACTAATGATACAAAGCTTGAGTGGCCTTACACCTAGAAAATAAAAGTAGAAGTGTATTTTTTTACTAGCTCATATCATAAACTAGGTCACTCTTTGAACATCAGCCTGGGTTACTTGATCCTACCCCTTAAAGAATTCAGAGCATAATATAATACAGCAAACATTTCCTTATAAGTTATAATTTACTTATTAGAGTGATAGATTGAGAGGAAAAAATGCTCACTCTATGACAGAATAAGACCAAGGGGTAACATAATCTTCCATAATACCCATTATTAGGGAACAATTAAGATCATAAAATCACTAATCCAACCAATGAATAGATCCATTGTGCTTTTAGTTAACTTATTTGACTTTTTTTTTTTACTAAGAAAAACTAAGCCACTTCTAAGCAACAGGGATGGCTATAATATACTGGGTACCAGCATAAGTAAGAGTTGGGAGATTCATATTCTATTATATACGACTCCACAGAAAACGATATATGAACTCTGATCCACCTCAATCCAGAAGATAGGACAGCAATGCTTGTCTCATCTACAAAAGACCTCACTCTAATATAAATTATATTATTTTTTAGATGTGTGCTTTCATAATAATGACAAAATAAAATGCTAAACCAGGCTTTTCGCTCTAGTAGAACCTAAAATCCAGGAAATGTTTTACATTTACCTGTCCACAGATCTAGAAGAGAAACCAACATCTCCTGTTTCCTGCTCTTTTCAATCCATGTTTAAACACCTAGGTACTTCAAGGACAGCAGTCCTTTGGGAAGATAAAATTATAGCCAGAGAGAAATAGCTACACAAAGACACCATGGCACCATAGCCATATAAATCGTTGGGTTGGTGTGTTCTAATGGGATGAATATGATACTCTCAGGAATATCTTAAGAAGGAAAAAATAGTAAGACAGGGAAAATGAAGCTAGAAAGAGATACCTAGTTAAGAGGAAACAGCACTCTGAGTTCCCAATAGGGAAATATACATTACAATATAGTGCTATTACACAAGGCCTTTTCCTACAAAGATCAAAAGTTGCTAAAGAACAGAAAGGGAATTCCTCCTTCCAAACAGCTTATGTTTAAGAGAACCTAGAAAAAATTACATAAGTTGCCCAAAGGAAAATAAGAATCATTTCCAAGGCAAGAAAATGTGTGTACATTTGTCAGCTAACTAAGCAAAAATGTTCCACTCAGACTACACCCTTCAGGTAGAGTGAGAAATGGTGTGTGCTGAATGGCCAATGTTTTAAACAGTGCCTCTACTATGTGACTCAGCTGAGTGAATGTTTCTTTCATATATAGTACTTTTTTTTAAGTATGCCCAACTTACTATATTATGGCAAAGTTAACGTGATTTTTATCACAGCTTGGGTTGGCTCTTTATACCAAGATTAATCTTTGAAAACTTAGGACAAGTACTTACTATATTATGCTCTGATACCTAAATATCGAAGTCATTTCCCAGGTAAAATTACATGACATGAACTCCAAATATAGTAAAAACCAGTGAATTTGATCACTTGCCAAAACTGATCAACTTCTGATTCAGACACAGATAAGCTTAATAGATTTTTGCCCAAACTGCAGGCAGTGAGACATAACCAATTATAATCTAACAAGTGCTTATAGAAAACTAAACAAGGAGATGGGGCAACATGACCAAGGACAGTCCCTCTTTCATCCTTCCGGTTTCTCATCTCCATTCACTTATGAAGCAAAAATACTGAGCACTCATTATGTGACAGACACTAAAGATATGGCAGTGGACGAGACAAGCAGTGGAATGCAGGGTATGGTGGTGGTGGTGGTGATGATGATGCTAAAAGAACTAAAATGTAATTTGATGATGATGCTGATGATATTGTTATCATAACAATGCAACAAAGTAGATTCTTATTCCCATTTTACAGATGAGAAAAACTGAGACTAAGAAAATAAAATACCCTGCCCTGGGTCACACAGATACAAACGGCAGGAAAAAATAATTCCTGGCCCAACTGCCCAACTGTTTATTGTTAAATAACACACACAGACACCTCCCTCCCCACCCCCATCTCCCTCTACCCCACAACACTATCTCAGTGAACCTTCAACAAAAATCTTGTAGGGTATTATTCACCTGGATTATGATTACCTCAATATTCTGGTACTGAAAAAGTTTTTTTTTTTTAAAGTAGATTCAGAATAATGGGGAAAACCTCTTCTACTATTGCCCCATCCGCTCCTTTTTTTAGACCAAAATCCTACCTAAGGAACTAATAAGAGATTGGAAATGTTTTTTCTAGAAAGTAATAAAGACTAAAAGTTGTTATCCTCCCTAAAGTTTCTATCTGGGGACTAAAAATTTAAACCAATACATATTGATCCCAAATCAGCAGAGTCCAGCACTATCCTAAACCCTTTTAAAGTCTGCGAATATACCTACAGACACTGAATCAAAGTTAGGAGAAACCATGGCAGAAACTTTCAAATCATCTTCTCTCTCCGTCATGGGCCAAATACCTGTAATTTAAAAAGAAAAACAATATTTAATCATAAGGTAAACCTGCTGTATACAGTTTTTTAAAAAAGGTTTTTCTATATCATATATCAAAAAACAACCCCATAAACATACTCAAAACTTGAAAAAAACTAATGCATTACAGAATTAGAAATCTGATTAATTCTTCCCCCACTACAAAATTTTAAAGAAAAACTGTCTTTCTCCAAAGATACTATCTAAGATGTGTCCCAGTGACTGAAGAGTGTTGGGAACTTCAATGCTCTCTCCTTAACACTATAGGTAGAAGCCCAAACTATAACTTTTTGAAGGTAAGTTGGTCAGAACTATCAAAATGTAAAATATACATATCCTATGATTTAACAATTCTATTCCTTAGCACTTATCTAATACTCACAGACACACCAAAGAAGCTTCTCTGCTGCTGGTAGTTATTAAAAACAAAAACAAAAACAACCTAAATCTCTATATTTCTATTAATAGGGAAATGCTTGACTAGATTATGGTATATCCACACTGTGCAATGATCCAAAGCCCAAAGCTGTAAATAAGAGTGCTATCCAACTTTATACACTATTATGAAAAGAACTCCAGGATGTGCCTATTAATAAAAACAAAAAAAAGCAAGACGTTGTACAATGCATCTAATATGCACATTTGTGTAAAAAGAAATAAACACGAATTTTTTTTAAAGAATACACACTCTTTTTTTTTTTTTTTAAGATTTTATTTATTTGTTAGAGAGAGACAGCGAGAGCAGAAACACAAGCAGGGGGAGTGGGAGAGGGAGAATCAGGCTTCCCGCCGAGCGGGGAGCCCGATGCGGTGCTCGATCCCAGGACCCTGGGACTATGGCCTGAGCCGAAGGCAGACGCTTAACGACTGAGCCACCCAGGCGCCCCCACAAACACTCTTGATAAAGGTTACCTTTAAATAATCTAGAGGAACTAGGATCTGGGGGTTTTACCCTTTTAGTACTCTTAGAATTATTTTCATCATATTCATGTTATTTTCACAACTTAAAATTTCACGATTTAAAAATGTTTATAGTGCATAATGAGGTATGAACAAGTGACACAGATCCTAAATAAACGAGAAACCTAAATAATATATATGCAAAAATACATGTGTATATATGTGTGTGTGTGTATTTATATACATATATATATGAATGACAGATTATTGGCTGCCCACCTAACAACCACTTTCCCCTCCTCCTCCTCCTTTGCGGCAGAGCTGTAATGCTACTGAGGCATTCGCCTTCATCTCAAAATCCTTGGATTGGTCAGGTCCAATCATGGTGATTTCATTCCCCCAACCATTTGTTGCTTTAGGCATGAGCACTGGGGCTTAATCCTGGCAGACGTGAGGTGAAGGGAGTTGGGAGTGGGGGGTGCTGGCACACGCTTCTGGGAAAGCTATTTCCCCATAATAAAAAGGGAGACTTAGGAGAAATGTCTCTCTTCTTCCCTGGAAATCATATTTGCACATAATACCTGGAACTGCTGAGATTACCCTGTGACCCTGAGAGGAAACATCCCTCACACACCAAGGATAGCTGACTAAAAACATGGAAAGTTCTTGGATGATGCCACAGGAATCAGCTGTCTCACAAAGAGAAGAACTACCTACAATTGTCATCAGGCATTCCCTCCAGTACTGCAATATTGGATGTAGGAATTTCCATAACTTACTTAGTGACAATACGGAAGCCTGCTCCCTGCCTACCCAATAACCATTCTTCAGTTCTTTACTAAAAGAGGCTCAGTTTTATTCTGAGCAACAAAGTGCCCAGCTAAAACACAAATTTTCCCAGCCTCTTATAAGCTTGGAGTGGCCAGGGAGATGTGAATAGAAGCTGCTCAGGGTGTGGCTTCCAGGAAAGATCCTTAAGGAGGCTGACTCAGCTGCAGATGTGAGGGCAGGAGTTCCAGAAGCCATCCTGGACCAATAGATGACCCTGGGAGAAAGAATTGGAGCCCCTGACAACAGTGGAACTGCCAGACCAACCCTGGTCTGCCCATTGCTGGACTTCTTTTCCATGGGAAAGAAATAAACCTCTGCCTTGTTTAAGCCACCTTATTTGGGTATTGTGTTATGTGCAGACAGACTTGGGCCTAAACAACACATCTTCTAACAAGGTCACCAAGTACAAATGCTTCCAGTACTCAATGGTAAAGGCAACTTAGTTATCCTAGACATATTTTCAATAGGGTACAGAGTTTCATTTATATGCCCCTTTCTTACTGTTCTCTTTCCCTTCCTGAAGACACAATTGTGTGGGAGGCTATCTCAATATCATACTCATTCCTTCACACCCCAGGTAAAGAACATGATCAACTGGCTTAATTATAAGGAAATTCTGCCTTTGAAAGTGCCTACCAACAGATGTTGTTGACTACTAGTAACAGAAATGCTAGGCAGGATTCACACTAATGAGCTGAATATGAAAAACTTCAAAACCCATGAGCCATACAGAAATTATTACTATAATTTCATGCTTACAACATACATTCCTCATATAAGTTACACACATAAAATCAGCTTCAAAAACACTTTTATTACAGTAGATAATATACACCATGTGTACAACAAAATGTACTCTTTAAATTGGCTTTAAATTTTGCTGAAACTCTGCTTTGAAGAAATAAAAAAGCTCTAAGTACCAAAAATAATCCACAAGACTGTGAACTTATTTTTGTGAATTAAAGTCACTATACCTAAAATAAGTGGCATTTAAATGAATAATGAGGTCATCAAAAAGTTCAGAGTTTTAACTTCTCATAATCTTCTATAATGAAATGATTTAGTGCTTTTATATAATTACAGGTATTTGATAAACAAATATACCACAGTTTTATAAGGGTACAGAATACTAAATTTTTTCAATATCTAGAAATAAAATATTTTAAAAGTCCCTCTTTCTCACAAGCTTCTCTTTGGGTTTTTTTTTTTTTTTGGTTGTGTGTGTATGTGTGTGGGTGGTTTTTTTGTTTGTTTGTTTTTTTAGGACTAAAACCAAATGATGATGGCAAAGAAGTGTCAGGGAACTTCAAATATTAACAAAAATTTGAGGTTATGTAAATAATGAACTTTGCACCCAAGTCTGTGGGCATATCCCTCCTTAATTAGCAGTTATTTCAAAATATACAAAACGATCAAGGTAATGACAACTTTAAAATAGCCCAACCCTTCTCACTCAAGGGCATCACTATGGCCAGCAAAAAAAAACTTTTAGCTGTAAGGGATTTTTCTGAGAAATCTTTTACACAATTGAGTGTTAATCAAAATATCATTAGCACATTGTTTATGGAAAGGGCAAAATCTCAAGACACAAAATCTAAAGTGAAAAGCAACATTAAATTTATTTAATGAACTCTGGAAATTTCATGTTTCATATATATGCCACTCTTCTCCAATTATATTTTTAAATGACATAAAGAGACTCATAATTCCATTAATCCCCAAAACACTAGTATCAAAAAGGGGGGGAATGTGTATATTGCAATGTGACACATCCAATTTTAACAATTCTCCATCTGAGAGGGGGTGCTGACAACAAATAGGTTTTCTGTAATTGGAGGTACTTAAAAGACCTAAGTTTCACTGGTTTACTTTCAAAACTTTCTAGGAGAATGTGTGAAGCCAAGGCATAATAATTTTACTTTAATAATCATGTTTTTAAAATATATTATCTAAATTCCTCTGAATCTGTCTTGGTAATGGAGACTCAAAAATATATAAATCTAGTGATTGGATCAGGATTAAGATTGGCTCTGGTGTTTTGGTTGGCTTTTGATGCTCTGCTTCTTTTATTATTCCTACTTGTTTTAACATTTCTCTTATGTGAAAATAGTCCATATTTTTTCTCATTAAAAAAATACTTTTACCTGACTCTGAGAAGAAAACTTAAAATAATGTTTTTCACATGTCCAATTCAAACTGCAGGATTGGTGTTTTGTTTCTCCTTTTAATTTACAATAAAATTATACCCCTGTGAATCCCAAATAAAGATAACATTCAGTTGCTCAAAACTCAGAAACTAAAAATATCATCAGCCTCTGAGTCATTAGAAATCAACATACTGCAGGCTACACTCCATTTGGATGGCTAATTAACTGCATACCTAAATAATATCACTGAACTGTGAATGACCACATATTTAGTAACAAAGTGGTAACTCATGTACTGCTTTGGTTTCTTTTAAAAGAAGCAACTAAAATGTTTTCAGGGATATTAGAAGTTAACAAATGATCATTCTAAAGTTTAATGCTCTTCTCAAGTCCTGAAACCACTATGCAAAGAAGTGTTTTGTTCCTTTCTTAGAGTTTAAAGAAAAAAAATTAGGTATCTCTGTCCCTGAAACACACTAACAAAAGCAATAAGCTATAAAATACAAATTAAAGAACAACACTGTTTTTACAACCAGGATTTTAATTAAGCCTGGAGGAGAAAATTAACTAATACATTCAAAATATTATCTATATACAAAATAATACCAATTTTATAATGAACACCAAAATCAAATACTAAAACTTGCAAATAAGATACCTTGTGATTTATTAACATCTTTGATGATTTTCTGAAGTTCTTTCAATTCTGTATCAAGTTCATCATAGTGTAGTTCTCTAGACTCAACCTTTGGAGCTTGGAACAAAGAAGGGTCTGTCCCCAGGTATGAACACTGCAAGTGACCATCATCACTCAGAGTGACTATCACTCCTTTTAAATCACTACAGTAAGAAAGAGAAAATGAGACATAATTCAAATTTTTGGTGGATTTAGACTTGACCAACAATATTTTTATTCAATTTAGTTTCAACATGCCATTAAGAAAATGGCCATACAACTATCTCTAAAGTTTTACATCAAGGACTCAATTCAAATATTTCAAACATGATTTATATTTATATAAACACTCCCAATGTTAGGATTCATTACACAGGGGGAAAAAAACCTTAACAATTATTATAATAGCTGTCACTTTGGGGGACCTAACTACATGATAAATCATGCTCCAAGAGCTTTCCAAGTACTGTATCATTTAATCCTCGCTCCAGCTCCCACTTGGTAGATTCTTTTTTTTTTTTTAAGATTTTATTTATTTATTTGAGAGAGAGAATGAGATACA